CACGGCCCCGCAGACCACCGCGGGCCAGCCTGCGAATAGTTGTCCGGTCGCAGCTCATCCTCCTCCTCCTCTTCCTCCCCTCCTCCTCCTCCTCATCCTCCTCCTTCATCCTCTCCTCTCCCTCTCCTCCTCCTCCTCCTCCCATCCCCTCCTCCTCCCCTCATTCCTCCCCCTCCCCCTCCCTCATCCTCCCTCCTCCTCCCTCCTCCTCCTCCTCCTTCCTCTCCTCCTCCTCCTCCTCCTCCTCCTCTCTCCTCCTCCTCCTCCTCCTCCTCCTCCTCCTCCTCCTCCTCCTTCCTCCTTCCTCCTCACCTCCTCCTCCTCCCTCATACTCCTCCTCCCCCTCCCCTCCTCCTCCTCCTCCTCCTCCTCCTCCTCCTCCTCCTCTCCTCCTCATCCTCCTCTCCTCCTCCTCCTCCTCCTCATCCTACGCTTCCTCCCCCCACTCCTAGCCCTTTCGATCAGGGTCGGCGGCACCGGCCGTCAGGCCTCTCCAATAGTTTTTCGGTCGCAGCTCTGGTAGCAGACAAATCTCAGACGTCTCGATGCTCCAGACTGGCGCTCGTGATCTTTCCCATTCCAACGGCGTGCTTCTCAGCTCCGTGGCTTGCCTACAGCTAATAGTTGTTAGGTCGCAGCTCTGGTAGCAGACCGATCTCAGACGTCTCGATACTCCAGACTAGCACTCGTGATCGTTCCCATTCCAACGGCGTGCTTCTCAGCTCCGTAGCTTGCCTACAGCTAATAGTTGTTAGGTCGCAGCTCTGGTAGCAGACCGATCTCGGACGTCTCGATACTCCAGACTAGCGCTCGTGATCTTTCCCATTCCAACGGCGTGCTCCTCAGCTCCGTAGCTTGCCTGCAGCTCGAGGTAGGCAGAGAAAACCAACACCGCCTCTCCAAAATTTGAAGAGTGCAAATAGTTTTTTGGTCGCAGCTCTGGTAGCACACCGTTCCACGTACAGTCGAGACGTTGTCGCATGGAACCCTGAATCAGGAACGGGGCTCCTGCGACAACGCCTCGGCTGTAGGTGGAACGGTGGGGGGGGGGTAGGGGAACGAGCAATGACATAAACATAAAAACTCGGAGGTCCGCGCGGACTTCTCGGATCGGCGCTGGACCCCCCGGCGGCGCCTCTAGCGCCGCCCCTGGCGCGCTCCGCGCGCCAGGGAGGAGGGTCCAGCGGGCGGCAAAGAAGAGCAAAGATGGGGAGGAAGGAGGAGGAGGAGGAGGAGGAAAGCAAAGATGGGGAGGAAGGAGGAGGAGGAGGAGGAGGGCGGAGGAGGAAAAGAAAGGAGGAGGAGGAGGAGGAGGAAGGAGGGAGGAGGAGGAGGAGGAGGAGGAGGAGGAGGAGGAGGAGGAGGAGGAGGAGCAGGAGGAGCAGGAGCGGAAGCAGGGGCAGGAGCAGAAACAGGAGCAGGAGCAGGACCAGACCACCCCAACCCGACAGGTAGACCCAGGTTTCGGGCTGGGGGGGGGGGGCACGGGTCCCACATGTGTTCCCCAACTCGACCCGGAGACCCAGGTTTCGGGCTGGGGGGGGGGGCACGGGCCCCACATGTGTCTCCCGGTGCTCCCCGACGCGCCCACTTCCTCCTCCTCCCCTGGGAGTGGAGGGCACACCGGGGCCTTCGGGTTGGGCTGGGCTGGCTTGGTGGGCGGTGGCCCACCGCCCACCCGAGGCACCCGGGCGGGGAGCGGCGAAGGGGCACCGGCGCGCAGGGCTGCCCGCCGCCCAGCCGCGAGGAAGCGGGGCTCGGGGCAGAGGCGGAGCCGAGAGGGCTGGGCGATCCTGCGCGCCAGAGGGCGATCGAAGAGTTCGACGGGGTGTCCAGCGAGAGCTCCGTCGTGTGAGAGAGAGAAAGAGAGAGAGAGAGAGAGAGAGAGAGAGAGAGAGCCGCCCCCGTCTGTGCAGCTCTTGCGCCAGTTTTTCCCTTCTTGCCATGAGCGTCGAGGAAGTCTCCAGGGATAGACAGCCACATGTGGACCCTGCCCCCTGCAGGCCGGATTTCTGAAACTCAGGCGGGGGCTCGGAATAGGAAGAAAGCCTGCAGCCAGGTGAGCCCCAGCGGGGGCGCCCGATACCCCAGCGTCGCTCGGACCCACAAGGGTATGGTTCGTAACAGAGCGTGTTTTACTTTTCGCGGTAACGGCTGTTACTGGTCCCGCCCCCCTCTCCCCCTGGTAACGTCACGCTTCGCGCCGGCGCCGTCTGGTAATAGCCAAAGACAGCTCCGATAGCAGATACCATCAGGGATCTCCTACGGCAAAGCGCGAATACCTATAGGGATTAAGGATCTGCTACGGCAGAGCGCTTCCCTTCTCCTTCTCTCCCTATTCCTCCTCCTCCTCCTTTTCCTCCTCATCCTCTTCCTCCTCCTCCTCCTCATCCTCCTCCTCCTCCTCTTCCTGTCGCCGCCGCCGCCGCCGCCACCGCCGCCACAGCCGCCGCGTCGTCGTCGTCGTCGTCGTCGTCGTCGTCGTCGTCGTCGTCGTCGTCGTCGTCGTCGTCGTCGTCGTCGTCGTCGCGTTCCTCCTCTCATCGTCCCAGTCTTCTTCATTTGATTGCAAGGTGCTTCAAGCAAGGACAGAATGAGGGAGTTTGGAGGAGGAAGGGGACGATGCAGGCCAAATCAGGCCGAAACGACCTGTTTGATTACACTGATGTTATCGATTCGTGCTCCTCCCTCCCTCCTCCTGACTGCCCCCTCTCCGTCTGTCCTTGCATGACGAACCTAGCAATGTAGTGAAGAGGTCGAGGACGACGAGAGGAAGGACACTACGACGACGACGGCGACGACGACGACGACAACGACGACGACGAACGCCGACGACGACGACGACGACGACGACGACGACGACGACGACGACGACGACGAACGACGACAAACGACGACGACGAACGACGACGAAGACGACGACGAACGACGAACGACGACGAACGACGACGACGACGACGACGAAAGACGACGACCACGAACGACGACGACGACGACGACGACGACGACGACGACGACCGACGACGACGACGACGACGACGACGACGACGACGGCGGCGGCGACGACGACGGCGGCGGCGGCGGCGACGGCGACGGTGGCTTCCAATCTTTTGCTTAGGTCACCTGACTTTGCGCAACGAGCCCCACGATGCGCGACGCGCGACTGCCCTCGCGCAAGCGCGACCTCGCGCCGCCCGCTTGGAGTGGGGCAACCGCTCTAGCCCCGCGAGGCGCGAAGCACGATTCTCTTCGCGCCCCCCTTATCATCATCATCATCATCATCATCATCCTCATCATCATCATCATCACCACCACCACCACCACCACCACCACCTCCACCATCATCATCATCATCATCATCATCATCATCATCATCATCATCATCATCATCATCATCATCATCATCATCATCATCATCATCATCATCATCATCATCATCATCATCATCATCATCATCATCATCATCATCATCATCATCATCATCATCATCCCACGGATTCCTAAAACGCCGACCGAGCTCCAGAATCCGGAGGATGTTTGCAAAACCAAGCGAACCTCAAGTAAGCCCTAGCGGGGGTCTCCCATACTGAGAGGCCTCCAACATGGGGTCCGAGCAGATGGGGTCATCGCCGATGCATCGGAGATGCATCGGAGAAGTCGGCGTGGAGAAAATCGAGCTCCACATCGAGCCGCGTCGACGATGCACCGGCGATGCGGCGCGCCCTGCGGCCCCATCCGTTCGGGATCCTGTCTTGGAGGCCTGGGGATACTGCCCACGACCTGCAAGCAGGCAGGGATGCCCGTCGCCCACCCGAGAGGGACCTGGGCTCGGGGCAGAGGCGGCGCCGAGAAGACTGGGTGATCCCACGCGCTCAGGTATGATCGAACATTTCGACGGGGTGCCCAGCGAGATCTTCGTTTTGAAGAAAAGCCGCCCCAATCGATGTAGCTCTTACACCAGTTGTCACTACTGGCCACGAGCGTCGAGGAAGTCTCCAGCGAAATCCCAATTTGAAAAGGACCCGCCCTCCGTCTGTGCAGCTGTACCATATGTTCAAGCTTCTAGCTTCTCGTTCAAATAATCCTGAAGAAACACACAACTTCTGTCGAAAAGGAACCACCCTTCCTCCGTACAGCTGCAGCATCTGTTCAAGCTTCTGGTCTTTGAATTTGAAGAGCACCCTTTTGAAAAGGAACCGCCCACAATCCCTGCAACTGCTGCGAAAGTTCTAAGACGAATGCGCGCGGCGCTAAGACGAGAGCCACATTTTGAAAACGGCACCCCTTCATCCTTAGGACTGCTGCGAAGTTTTAAGACGAACGTGCGCGGCGCTAAGGCGAAAGCCACATTTGGAAAACGACCCCCTTTCCATCCTTAAAACTGTTGCAAAGCGTGTCCAACGAAAACGCGCGGCGCCAATGCGAGACCGAGGGTTCCGTCTTGAAAACGACCCTCCCTCCATCCTTGAAGCTGTTCTACCTTTCAAGCGTAAGGATCATAACCGTGAGGGAGTATCAAGCGAAACGCCCGGTCCTCGGGGTGCGACAGGGAAGAGTTGTTGAGGAATAGGGATACAAAAATAAGGAGCGAGGAGAAGAAGGACCCGGACATGCGATGTCCTGATCCTTTGAATACGAAGGTTCCCTGAAATCATGGCCCTTTCCCGGGGGCCGTTTTTTCATTACGAGTCCTTCTTGTCAACGATCCCGGGGCCCTGCAAAGGCCTCCAGGAAACCAAAACGTCCAAAAACTTCCCGCCGCGGTTTATTCGCGACGCGAGCATGTGTCAAATAGGAGGAGGAGGAGGCGGAGGAGGAGGAGGGCGGAGGAGGAGGATGGCGGAGGAGGAGGAGGAGGAGGAGGGCGGAGGAGGAGAATGAGGAGGGCGGAGGAGGAGGAGGAGGAAGGAGGGGAAGGAGGACGGCGCAGGAGGAGGAGAAGGGCGGAGGAGGAGGAGGAGGAGGAGGAGGAGGCTCGCAGCCGGTCGCGGGCCACTCTTTTCGGGCGACTCGGGGCGCCGAGCGCACGCCGGCTGCGCCGGCTCTTATCGCGTCCACCAGGCGGGCCGCCAGCTCCGGCCGGAGGCCGCTGGCCGGCAGGCCGGCGGCGCTCAGGGCCGCGCGGAGCTCCGCCACGCGCATCCGCCTCGCCTGGTGGGGCAACGACGCGGGGGTCCCTCCTCCGAACTTCAGGGCCCTCCTCCTCCTCCTCCTCCTCCTCCTCCTCCTGCTCATCATCATCATCCTGCTCCTCCTCCTCCTCCTCCTCCTCCTCCTCCTCCTCCTCCTCCTCCTCCTCCTCCTCCTCCTCTAAGTATGCTAAATTGGGCTGGTGGAACCAGACCCTGACGACGGCGGGGCGAGACCCACGACGAAGGCCAACCCAGAGAGCAAGAGGCAGAAGAAGCTGAAGGAGGCGAAGGAGAAGAGATGCGCGCAGCTGGAGAAGCACCTGAAGGAGGCGTTCGGGGAGCTCCAGCTGCCGACGAAGGAGAGCATGGAGGAGGAGGTCCCTTCCACAGCACCGAGAAGACGCGGGAGCAGGCCCAGGCACTGGGCCAGGTGGAAAGGTGGGAACCTGTCCCGCACTTCCTCCTGGATAGGGACACGATGTGCAGGGATCGGCTGGCTCGGGACTACGCAGCATGGGTCACCACAGTGGAGGAGACTACGACCACCCACCACCAATTGCAGGACACGGAGGCATCCAAAGTGCGCGGACGAGCCCAAGGACATGGTGTCACTTGGGAATAGACGCGCGCTACCCCCGACCGACCACATCTCTGTGATCCTGCTTCGGAATGGTAAGGTATATGTACGGCACTCTTGGTCAGAGCGGGAGTAGTACGGCGAGCGGGACGAGTATCCCATATATAGAGATGGTATATACTAAGATTGAGGAGTTGTTGGTGGCGGATGGCACCAATGACAGGTTTACGATTTTCCACGCGGATGACCAGCTCAAATGTTGGCTCGGAATGATCTGCGCAATCAACGAAGAGTTCCAGGAGCTACCAGAGTAGTCCAAAAAGTTCAAGAACCGACTGTTGGGTCGGTCACTATCGAACTCTCGGAGGAGCTATCAGTCATGGGCTACGAGGATGTGGAAATCTACACCAGGAGTTCTGCATCGATATGCCAGAGGGGTGCTGGATAAACCTGATGATCTTGTTTCGGACTTGAACGTGTTCTCCTCCCCCAGCGAGGCGATGGACTACCGAGCTGACACGTGGCAGAAGGTATGGAGCAGCAAGGACTATGACCAGACGAGGGTCAGGTCAGGCCTAGAGTACGTCCACAGGAGAGCACTGCATCAGGAAGTGGAGGAGAGCACCACGGAGCAGATCTGCCAAGCCGCGGCCAGCACGAACGCGAAGAAGTCGAAGGGAATAGATATGACCTCCTCCTCCTCCTCCTCCTCCTCCTCCTCCTCCTCCTGCTCCTCCTCCTCCTCCTCCTCCTCCTCCCCCTCTGGGGCCATTGGAAATTCAGAGACTACCGCAGCGAGGAGTGGATCTCAGCTGCGTGATGTGCTGCACGACGTGGAGAAGCAGGGCATGTGGCCAGGCCAGCTGCTTCTGGCCACGGGTGCGGCAGCTCCGAGGCCACGTGCAGGAGACAGGACACTAGAGGAGGAGGGAGGAGGAGGAGGAGGAGGAGGGAGGAGGAGGAGGGAGGAGGAGGAGGAGGAGGAGGGAGGAGGTAGGGCTGCGTCCCTCTTTGGTCAAGCTGTGGGCGGAGGTGCGCAGTTCAGAAACGCCCCCTCCAGGCGCACGACGCTGACGGACACTGGGATACAGCGATGCGCGGGTCGTCGGCACTACAGGCGGCTGTAGTGCGGGGCCTACTGGATGAATCGGCACGAGAGCTGCATGTGTCATCGTCGACGCTGTTCTTGGACGTCGAGAAAGTCTACGACAGTCTGGATATTACGAAATTGTGCGCGGCGGCCCTGGCACGAGGCTTTCCAGCCTTTCCAGCAGTGTTGTTACTGTTGGAGTTGCTAGTGTGTTTGGCCCCGCGTGCACTTAAAGATCGCAGTGGAATGCCGCATCATATTCGGCCGCAGCGAGGCATCGTTGCAGGGTCTCTCAATGGCGGTCGTATGGCTAAAACCTTGTTGGAACATATGCTGGAGAGAGTTCATCGACTATCTGGTATGGAGATAATGCTGCGCATATTCGTGGACGATACGGTTATATGAGCAGAAGGCACGGAGAAGCAAGTCATTGAGTCATTGATACCATGATCGAGGTTGGGAGTCACATATGTGAGCAGTTTCAGCCGGCTGGTTGTCTTGGGATATACTACGAGTATTGCGAATCAAGTCGCAGACGGACTTCGACGAACAGGTATCCCAGTCACATCCACGTTGGAAGCGGTCGATCTCGGGATGGACACCACGGCTGGAGGACGCAGATCTTGTAGAAAGGTCAATCAGCGTAAGGCGGAGGCGAAGGAACGAATCAAAGTAATACGCAGGATGAGAAGGCACGCCAATCTACCAAGCATCACGTCTTCGCTGTGGGCCACGTGAGCTAGACAGACCGCAGATCACCTACGCGCATCAAGTTTACGGAGTACCTGGCTACATGATGACAGAGTTACGGCGACAAGCGGCGCAATGTTCAGTGGGTTCGGGACCAGGACGTTGTTTGACCACATCATTGGCTATGGTCTTCATGAACAAAGACCCTGCGAAATCCATGCGTCGGATGCACATTTGCTCATGGCTTAAGGTGGCGAGAGAATCCAGAACTGCACGCACGTATTGCATTGACATGGGACAGGATTCGGAAGAGGCTGCTATTATCGGGGTCGAGACGATGGAGAATGGTGAAGGGACCGACCGGAGCTACAGTGGCAACGTTAATGAAGAGTGGCTGGACACCACATTCCCCTATGCAGTGGGAACCGGGTCAAGCTACATGGACGATCCCTGCTTGTGTGGATGCAGAAGACGAGCGGTTCCATGCAGATGTTACCGATATTCTGGACGACGTAGGAGGACACGGTGGACAGGCAGCTCTGGAGCATGGCGTCGCACCACTTAGACAGTATCGACCTACAGGGCGGCGACGATATGTTTCAGGGGTGCACGGAGCTGAAACGCCCACCACCACCACCATCGTTATTATTATTATTATCATTATTATTATTATTATTATTATTATTATTATTATTATTATTATTATTATTATTATTATTATTATTATTATCATTATTATCATCATCATCATCATCATCATCATCATCATCATCATCATCATCATCATCATCATCATCATCATCATCATCATCATCAGCAAGATCATCATCACCACCATCAACATCAGCATCATCATCAGCATCATCATCGTCATCGTCAACGTCATCATCGTCCTCATCCTAATCATCATCATCACCACTATCATTATCAGCATCATCAGCATCATCATCTTGATCGTAATGATTAACATAATCGTCAACATGATGATAATCAATAGCAGCATCAGCAGCAGCATCATCATCATCGTCGTCATCCTCATCGTCATCATCCTCATCAGAATCATCATCAGCATCATCATGATCATCATCATCATCATCATCATCATCATCATCATCATCATCATCATCATCATCATCATCAGCATTATCATCCCTCCTCGTACGATAGTTTCAGTTTTCCGACGATGTGATTTCTGCTGTCGCACCGCCTTTCCTTCATTGCGGCTTCTGGGGCCCGCCATAGGGCCTCGGGACCACCAGAGAAGGATCGGCATCCTCCTCGCCTGATAGGGGAACGACTCCGAACATCCGACGTTTTGAAAAATCAAGACGAAGGGTTTTTCGCCATTCCCAGCCTCTGGGGCCCGTCACCGGGCCCTGCTCTGGGACGAGCAACACTGCCCTCGGAGAGAAGCGGCCGGGACCCCATAGGGGCCGCGGGCCGAAAAAAACATCGAGTCGGCGGCTGTCTGGGGGGTCCAGCTTTCTTTTGGGTCTCGGCAGCCGATCGGCCCCCGTCAATGTGCACTTAGATACGTAAGAGCGCAGCCCACGAGATGACTGCATCCAGCCCCAAGACTTCAGCCTCAAAAGCGCTCCGCCTGGCATAGAAAGGGGCGGCATAGCGTAGATGTCCGGCGTAGATTGGGGGGGTACCACCTCGGGGTGGGAAACGTCGAGCTTGAGTCGGCGATAGAAATCGCCGACCGATCCCCAGACATGCGACGTCCTGATTTTTCGGGAAGGCGCCCCCGGAAGTCCCGACCCTTTCCCCAGGGTTGGTTCTTCATCCCGAGTCGTGTTTTGACGGTCCTGGGGCCCGGCGGGGTCCTCGAAAGGCCGAAAACGGCAAAAAACCTTCGTCCTGATTTTGTTTACGACGCGATCGTCCTGCTTTTTCAGGACGGCGCCCCCGGAAGTCCCGACCCTTTCCCCGGGACTGGCTTGTCATCCTCGGTCGTCTTTCGACAGTCCTGGGGGCACGGCGAGGGCCCCCAGGGCCCGACAATAGCGAAAAACATTCGCCCCCATCTTTTCACGACGCGATCAGGTCTGGAGGAGGAGGAGGAGGAAGAGGAGGAGGAGGAGGAGGAGGAGGACGACGACGACGAGGGGGATGAGGAGGAGGAGGAGGAGGAGGAGGAGGAGGAGGAGGAGTGGGAAGGTCTCCGTAGCCATGTGGGCTCAAGCCCATCTGGCCTCCGGCGGGCCCGCGGGTCCCGATCGACGCGATCCGTTCTGGGTCGCCGACGCCCCCGACAGGGAATCCGCACGCTCCTGTACGGGGCCGGGTTGTCATCCTCAGTCGTTTTTGTCGACAATCCTGGGGCCCGGCAAGGGCCCCCAGGGGCCGAAAATAGCGAAAAACCTTCGCCCCAAGCACGGTTCCCAGCACCTCCTCCTCCTCCTCCTCCTCCTTCTCCTCCTCCTCCTCCTCGCTCGCTCGCTCGCTCGTACAGGCACTAGTGATTCGCAGCCTATCCTAGAGACGGGAAAAAGGACCAAGAGGGAGAAGGGGACGGAGAGGAAGGGGATCAGGTGGCATGGCGCTCGTTGAACAACGCAAAATCGGCGCCATGCTCGACCTGGGGGTAGGGGTCGAGGGGAGCACAAAAGGGGGTAAGACTAGGGTCCAAGTCCCCCCCCCTCAACACCAGAAAGCC